GATCCAAAAAATGGAACCCATTAATAATCCCCAAGGTTCCCCAATGTAGTCATGGAGCACATGACCCAAAAACTGCCGCGATAATAGCCTTGTAACTTGTAAGAGCCTTACAAGGGCATGCCCGCCCGGCAATTGCCCAGTTAAAGCATTCTGGTGGAGGCTGAGGTTAGGGTTTAGGGTTTAGGGTTCTACGTGCCACTTAGGGCCCCGACTGAGGGTTAACCCTTAGGTACCTGTAATAGGAGTATAAGGGAACCCCAGAGGGTTCAGGGTCTAAGGCACAAGCTAAGTCCCAAGGAGGGTTTATTAGGTACATCGCAATCCATCTATGGGGGTAGAAAGGAGATTCTGGAGCTTGCTTCTTTGGAGTCTAAGAGGTGTAACTGATGATTTTTTCATCCTTACGGTACCGCCAAACTCTCTTCACCTGGCTGGGATATCAAACGCCCTGCCTGGCACCAGGAATCTTCTCTAACAAGCTGAAATATACGGGCGGCCAAACTTGGAATGCAGTGTTGAGGGCAGTATACACCCCCATATAAGCCCGGTCTCCTCCGTTGCAGCTTCCATTTCCTTGCCACTTGAACCATAGTCTAAACTCCTAGCATCCCCCTTCATAACCCCTATAGTAGTCCCCTATATCATCCCTTATATAACCCCCCTATAAAGAGTTGAGACTATGGCTCATTTGATTATCCACTATTCCATCTGGACCCCCTGGCCTAGCTAGGATTACCTAAGGATGACTGAGGCCAATCAGGCAAAGTCAAGGGTGGAACCTCGGGGGATGGTATGGGTGGATGTGGTAGGGGAACCCATGGGTGTAGGGCTCATGGAGTCCAAGTTTGAAGAACGTTTAGGACTTAGGATGTAGGGGTTTTGTTGTGTGTGTGTGTGTGTTTTTTTTAAGTTATGGGTTTCTGCTTCAGGGGTTCCCAAGATTCCCGCCTCGGGGGTCAGCCCTTGTTAGGGTTTAGGGCTTAGAGCTTAGGGCTTGTGAAAGCCCCAATAGAGGTTGAATTTCCCTGCAACGGCGAAATATACTTGTACATGTGGTTAGGGTTTAAGGTTTAGGGATCATCAATGAAACTGTCAAATCTTGCCTTTGAGTCCTATAGGCGGTTGTCATAGACGGGTAGGGTCCACCATACGGCCCTTTTCAGAATACAGCAAGCGATATCTGAGCAAAGTTACCCTAAAAAAAACAACATCCAGCACATCGAACCTTTCTAGACCCTAAATCCCAACCCCCAGACCCTGAACTTTCCCAGGCCCTACAAGCCCTTTGCCAATTCCTTTGAAGTTTCTGTACCTTCGACTACTTCGGCTTCTCACCAAGGACTCGGCGTGGGCAGACCGGTCGCCAGCTTGTGCAAAACGCCTAAGTGTTGCGAGTCGTGATTGGGCCAGATGGGGGTGTGGGTGTAGGGGCTTTGGGCGCATGGGGCACAGGTGTGGATGAGACCTGCGGGTACAGCACCCAATGCTCGAGGGCTTTTCCGGTTTTGTGTCGGCGGTTGAACAGAATCTTAAGACGGTTGGAGAGATCATTGAAAGTCGTAGTAATTGGGTAGCTTAAAGAACGCCTAGGCGGAGGAACTTGAACTGCAGATTTCGGCCGCCTCTTGCACGCGGAAAAGGCAAAGCAGCATGGGGAACATCATCAGGGTCTCCTAATGTTCAGGTTGTGTCTTCCTAAGACTCTTGAATCAGGACCCACATCACGTACCATAGTCATGCAAGGACCATACAGGAACATCATTTATGAGTTGTCAGCTTCAGCCCTTAGCCCTAGACCCCAAATCTTAAACCTAACACGGACCTGACATAGGCTTGTGTCTCCTTCAATGTATCTAGTAGCTTGTTAAGAACGTGGCCCCTTTTTGGGCTGTCAGTTTTTTACACACCCNNCCCCCCCCCCCCCCATTTTAGGGCCCCGAAAAGGGGCTATGATTCTAACAATCCTTCCGTACAAAGACATGGCGGTTCCGAAATGTTTGTACCTTGTAGCGGTATCTTGAGACTTCAGCCTAAAAGACTCGAATCCCTACCATCCTTCAGTTCCTTCTTTGTATCCACACATATGCCTATCTTCCCGTAAAAAGGGACAGCCGAACAACCACATTTTCTTTGGAGACGGGGCCTCGTCGGAATTTCACAGAAGGAACTCCATGGTTGGAAGACAAGTTTAGGTTGAGAGTCTTAATGCCTACTACACTAACCTGAAACCCAAACAAACTGCAACAAGAGTTCATAATTACCCGATCCCCTCAAGCCTGGATCATGTGCTACCTACACCCCCAACCCTAGGGTTCTACCTTACAACAAAAGTCCGGTAGCCAACAGCACTCCTAAACACTTTAGCTTTGTACTATTTCATCTTGTGGCACAGCAGCCACTTCTGTGTGAGGTTTAGCGTTTAGACGCCCAAAAGCACAATGGATTTGAAGAGTTAATTAGTGCCATCTAGTTGGTATTGGGTTGGGGAAGCGAGTTTGAAGACTTAATAATTCTCATCTAGATGGTATTGGGTTTGGGGAGAAGATAGGGCTTTGGGGCCATGAGAAAAATACGCGCAAAGAGCCTGAGCCAGAGGATCGTTGCCAATGGCTGCAAGGTCCCTTGTAGTGGGGAATCTCGGCATCCCTGCAAAGATGATTGTCAGTCATGGGTATGTAGGGGTTCTGAAGTTAAAGGTTTAGGGCGTATAGTATCTCAAAATGTCCACTGGAGCTCTGTAGGCGTGTAATCCCTTCCTGTCCCTAGGATCTCCAAAGGTCCCTGTTTTCAGAAACCACCATCCCTTCAGCAAGGATTCTCGCACAGGCGCGCGTCCCCAGACCCCAACACTGCACTTATTTGACCCTGCAGGGATGAATATTCCCACAGTTTCCATTTCATTTTCCATTTTCTTTTCCATTTGATTTCTCCATTATAGGGGGAAAATATCACTAAACCCTAAACCCGACCCTGTTTTCTAGATGCCTCGCCCTGAAACCTAAGCTGGAAAGAGGATTTACCTGGACCCTGGGCATCTGACTTTTCTTAGAAAAATCGACTAGGGTTTAAGGTGTTGGGCATACCCTAGGGTTTAGGGTTTAGGGTAAACCCTAAACCCCCAAAAAATGACAAGGGTGTAGGGTATACCCCGTGAAACGTATGACTCAATTTAACAAAGAAGGCGCAGATGGCGCCGAGCTAGGGCTTAAGGAAATATGAGCCTCTAGACCCGTAGGGTTTAGGGTTTAGGGTAAGCCCTAGCCATGGGTTTTAAGCTGAGTCGCCACTTCAAAACGCCTAGGTTGTCGGGACCATCAGGCGTACAGTCCTGACCCAAAGCAGTCTCCGGGATCCTTGAGATTAGGGTGTAGAGTGTGGGAGTTTAGGGTAGGCGCAGGGGTGCTTGCCTAAACCCTAAGCCCTAAACCCAGTTCAGCTTAAGCTACAGGCATGATGGACGTAGGGATCTCATGACACGTTTACTGAATTATCGGTTAAGGGTTTAGGGTTTGGGGCATGCAGTCGTCTCAGCCTCAGGTTGAAAAGACTGCGCAGCATCAAGTCTAGCAGGAAAAGCGTAATGGGAGGCGTGACTGCAAACTCCTGATGCAGCCTCCGCCTGTATGCAGTCAGTGGTGCCTATGGCTAGTCACTCAGTTTTGTTAGCCTTGCCCTTGCCAGCGCCCTTCCATGTGCGCTCTCGGCAGTTCTGGAAGCTATGACCGACGCGTTGGTTGAATGCGCAGGCATGCACTCCTTGCGGCACTTTGGAGGCTGGCTCTCCACTTTTGCAGTAGATCCTCCGGCGAGGTTGTGATCCCAACATATGGGAGTGACCCGTCCTCGGTCTTCTTATGCAAATCCTCAAGCTCTGCAGGTACGGTCCTGCGGACTCTGCCATTATCGCCAAACTTAGCCTTTGCAGCCGCTTTAGCCGTTGCCTGACGCCTCCTTCTCTTGGCAGCGAGACAAGCCTGGCATCTCCGCATCAGCCCCATGTTCCCCAATCACAGTCTCCAAACGGGCTTTGACAGGTTGACGGAGCCAATCCCCTAAAACCTGAACCCTAAACGGAAATGATTGGGAATACAGCGTTTATGGTCTTCCTACTTCAGAACTTGTAGATCTTTTTGCCAGGAGCGGACCCCCTTTCCATATTTCCACAATGGAGAGCCCTTTGTTTTGCTTCCAGCTCCACATATTCTTCATCTTGTTGATCTTCACCTCCGTCAGATCTGCCAGATCTGTCATCTGCCCACCAAACGAGAGAAAAGTGTAATCCTGCTCTACACCGATAACTATAGCCCCATCGAAGATGTTAGCAGTTTCCCCTGAACATTAAGCCCTCAGTCATGTTGATTAACATGTCAGCTGTTGGATTTGAATTTGGGGCCTTATAAGGTACAGTGTGATTGCGGTGTGGGGTGCTTCTGACACTTGGTGCAAGGTATTATCACCGAGTTGTCAAGAAAAATCTCCATGAACATTCAGCAAATGCAGCAGGGCCATGAGACTAAACTCATTCGAAACTCCATAAAACACCATACCTGACAAACCCTAAACCCTAAACCAGAAATACACGATCAACCCTAAGCCTACCTCATCCCCGAATAACAAAAACGGTAAGGGATTAAGGGATCAGGGTTATAGGGGCATATAGGGATTATAAAGGGTGCATATGTAGGGGCAATATGGGGGTTATATAGGGTGTGTGTGTACATATATATATATATATTTCAATATAAAGGCTATGTAATGGTTATTCAGGGTGTATACGCAGGGATTCTGAAGGGATTATAGAGGGTGCATATATAGGGGTTAGATCGGGACTATCCAGGGTGTATATACTGGTTATACAGGGATTCGATGGTAAGAATGGAAAAGATATTGGAAAGTGGGTCGAAACAATCACCTGCCCCAAAATATAGGGAATACCTATATTAGCCGGGTGGGGGCTGGTGATTTATCATCGTAGGCTTTTGAAATTACAAACGGCTCTGTAGGGATTTAGGGATTATACCATTGCGGAATCAAACGCGCAAGAATTTGGGCATGTGACACGGAAACTGGGTTTATATGTGGGTGCATAACGGGGATTAAGCCATCCTGTACCAAAATCCTTTAAACCCTAAACTCCAAGCCCTGAATCTCAACCCTAAACCACTAAACCTCATAATGGTGGTAATTCTTGAGGCGTCTACATCTGACGCTCTGAATTTGCCGCCAAAGTCGAAGCTCCCCAACCCGAACACCAACCAAATGGAATCAACAACTTCATCCCCCCCCATTCTGGCTCTCCACGAATTGTATTCTCGGCTCCATTTTTACTTGCAACCATGCCCTCCAGCGGAAACTTCACCTCTAATCTCAAGCCTCAAACCCTAAATCCTCCCAAACCCCAGGGCGTATGGTAGTAGCTTCCAGTTTTCCTTCCCTAAACCTTGAATCAGAAACTCAAAGCCTAATCCCTAAGCCCTGCAAACCCTAAACTCCCAAAAAGGCTAAACCCTAATCCCTAAACCCTAAACCCTCGCCCCTCATCCCTTAAATATTTTTTAGGCAGCCCTGCGGGTCCGATGCTCCGGTAAAGAGGAAAATCTCATCTCCGTTGAGGAGGGACAGCGGCGGGTCGCCTTCCGCGCCATTTGGGCCATAAGTCTAAATATGAGTATATTGGTTTATGGGTTTAGGGTTCAGGGTTTAGAGTATCTATATGGAATAAGGTTATATAGGAATCTAGATATATAGGGATAGGTGGGTCATATAGTGATGTAAGGACATATGAGCTATAGCCAAAACTCCTAGTATCCGCTTAATAATCCTATATTAGTCAGCTACCCAATCCCTTTTCTACCCCCTTTAAGGAGTTTAGACTATGGCTCATGTGGGCTACAGCGAAATCTACCCATTGAATTAATGGAAAAGGAAATGGAAACTACTATTTGGGGTTTAGGGATGTTACCCTCAAGAATGGAGTATCCAAAAGGAACAGGTCATGGAAGATGAGATGGAAACAGGGATTGTGTAAAGGTTTCCGGGGATGAGAGTTTATCCAAATTCGTCGTACCCTCTTGGGCGCCCCTATAATCAAGTTTATAGAACCTTTGGGTCTATATTGGGGCCGCCCATTTATGGAAACTATCATCTGTGACAGTTTTAGGGTTAAGGGTTTAAGAGTTTAGGAAGATTTGTACTTGGGCCATTGCTTGTGGTGGTAGGGGTGTCCAAATTTCATTCGCGGATTTCGTCTTCTCCACTCCACACTACATCCGACCAAAACCCTTAGCCCGAAAACATGAGCCCTTAACTCTATAAACCCTAAACTTTGTGAACCTCAACCCCCCCCAAGAAACTCTATGCTTCGCCCTGCTCCACGCGAAGCAACTGTGATCCCCCCCTAATGGTGAGCGACCCAACCCCCTAAGGCCGAGTACCCTGGGTTTAGGGTTTAGGGTTAGGATACCATAATATACTCGGGGAGTCTTGATTCTTAGGGGGTGGAGGGCTTCATTTTTAGGGGGCAGGGCTGAATGAGATGTAAGCTCTACAGCTCGATAGCAGAGCCGTTTTGAACATGGAAATGCTGTGTCACCGCAATATGCCCCAAGACCAGAATCCTTACTCCTACAGGACCCTTTCGGATGTTCCATGATAAATTCAGGGATTCCCTTCCTAGCCGGTTCTACACTACTGCTCCCAAGGTTTTCCCGCTTCTAATGCATTTCAGAATGATTCATGCTAGTTCGAGGGGTGGTATTACTGGGTAGTGTATGGAAGGGTAGTGGGGATACCATGCAAGGCACCCTGTTTTCGCCCCGCCAAAGCCCAGTCCGCCTCCTGAGATGCTCTCATTGCAAGAAACTTGAGTCTCCAAACCCTGAACGCTCAGACCGCGCGTCTTGCCGCGCTTCCACACGATCAAAAGTGTACGGAGGCACAAAAACCCTGCAAATACCGCACAAATCGGGGTTGGGACGGACTACAGGGGCTTTTAAGTTAGGATGATTTTTTACTGAAAAAATCATCCCAGTGCATCACCTC